AGCAAAATCTCCTGTAAATTTTTGGCTGTGCAATAGCTGCCTCCATGGATTGCAAACACACCATTGCACACAGTGCCTTTCATCTGACAGTTCCTCATTCACAGATATTTTACCCCGGCTGCTGAAAGCTGAATTGTAAATTGGAACTTTTAATACAGGCACAAGTTTAGCTTACAATCAAACAAATAAATGAGAATGTAGCCTGTTATGTCTTGTTGACTTTGACTAATTGGAATCCCTTTTAGTGATGGATCAACCAGCAAGGCAGCTTTGTGGGTACATATAACAATCAGGTTGGCGCTACCTGTGACACTTCAAGCCACTTTACTGGAGCTGCTGTCCAACCAATAATATATTGGGGTTGATTTACTAAAGGCAAATAGATTGTGCACTTGGAAGAGCACTGAAAGTGCAGTTGCTCTAGATCTGAGGGGAACATGCAAGGAAAGTAAAAAAACAGTATTTTTTTCTTGTACGTGATTGGATGAAAGAAATGAGCAGAGTTTAGCCTCATTTCAGAGCTTCCCCTTGGATCTAAAGCAACTGCACTTGAAGTGCACAACCTATTTGCCTTCAGCATATCAACCCCATTGCATTTAAAGTGAAAGTCCAAATTGAGTTGCTCTGACCAGTTTCCATCGGCTACAGCCAACATAGTGGTGAGCTTACAAGCTCCAAACCTGCTGTGGATGTGTCCAGACCTATTCGGTAGGGTTATTTGAGACTGAAAAATGGTATAATTATCATAGACCCTCCAATAATGGCGGAGGAATAGATTAGGGTTCTGATAGTGTAATATAGTCACAAGCACCGATTTCATGTTCAACAGAACAGACGTCTACATCTTGCATGTAGCTAGGGTCATCTTCGCACCCCTTTCCACTGTTCTGTAAATGGCCTTGGACATTTACTGGGGCCTATGCAGACCAACAGGCTGGAGAATTATAGGTCCAGAGCTGGCATTTTGAAGATGCAGACCTATGTTTTGGGGATTGTAGGTGTATTTTCTCAATTTACACCCTAACTTAGGTCTAAAGATTCTAACTTCTTGTACCTGACTTTTCATATAGAAGGCAGGTATAGCCAATTGGTGCAGTCACCCCACAATTGTAACCAAGCTGGGGGGAAAAAAAATGCCATCAACCTGTAGCTTTACAAATGGGTTTTCATCAGGTAATATCAAACATGGGATTTAAACGTAAACTTTTTTCTTAATAGGGCCGCATCATTAAATAGTTTTTTTGCACTCAGCTGTAGGCCTGGAGCTTGAAGTTCATCTTTAAATTTCCTCTAGCTACCTAGTTTCTGGAGACAGGTGCAAGTTTTCATCCTTGCCAAAGACTTCCACTATGCTGATTTCAGAACTTCTGTTCTGCGGACAAGTATTGAAGACAGCTAGTTACCACGTGATAAGAAAGAAGTACTTTGGGAAATTGGCAAGGGTGAAATTGAGCTTTGTGTCCAGAGGCAATGGCTAGACAAAGGAGAAATCAGAAGCTAGACATAGCATTCATTTAAGGTGGATCTTACTCTCCATGTCCTGAATCGGTAAGCCTCATACCTTTTTGGCTGTTTTCTGGCCTTGCCTCCAATGACTCCCTTTGTTACTTATTTCAGTCTCACCAATGGGTGTTCTATCAGATAGCTTAGTGGAAAGTGTATGGTTTGTCTCCACCTATAGCTAGGGTTTGTGAACAGAAAGAGCAGCGGGGTGAAAATATCCCTCTTTTCTAACCTCCTTTGCAGGGTAGGGGAAGGCCTGTTTCATTACTGCACATACTTAACTAATACAGCACTATTTGGTTACTTATATATCCATTACATTAGGGACACTGGTCCATATAAACCATTCCTGGACAAATGCCACTTCAGCTTCTAAGGAGGGCAATCGGGCCATAGCCCCTCTGCCCTTCCCATAATCCCTTGCTACTGGAATTAAAAATTTGGAACCATCATAGTTACACCCTCGGCACTCCATTCCATAAACCCCAGTTGGGAGAACAGCAGATGGAGTCGGATTAGTTGCCTACTTTCTAGCTAGCAAGAAAACATTCATGGCGCTATGTCAGTGCGTATAATAGCAATATTTCTGTCTGTATCTTAAATCAACTTCTAAGACTTCAAAAGAGAAAGGCAGCGTGGTGATTGTTAACATTAACAGTCATTTTGAAAAATTAAAAAAATTTAAACAAGTAGTTATTTCGTATATTGGATAACCAGGCCCGCATAGGCACATGCCCAGTTTCTGCTTTGGAGAAGTTCCTCTGCTTGGGGATTTTATAGGACAACTAAAGCATCAGGAGTGTCCTCCTTAACAGCTCCAACATACACAAACAGCAGTGGCTGTAACCAATCAGAAGCTTGCTCCCTCTCTAACTGACCACCAGTCATGTAGGCACATGCCCAGTTTTGCTTTGGAGAAGTTCTTCTGCTTGGGCCTTTAGAGGACAACTAAAGAACCAAGACTACCAACCTAAACAGCTCCAACATACACAAATAGCAGTGGGCTGTAACAAATCGGAAGCTAGTGCCCAGCTTCTTAATGTACAACTGTTTTTTTTCATTATTGGTTGCTATCCTTTTACTGCACATTGCTGATCTTGGCAGCATGGTGGCAAATAAATTCTCAATCACTAAGGGTTGGGATTGTTCACTAAATATATGGAACACGTGGCTCCCTATTGTGTAAGCCAGTGATCTCCAAACTGCAGCCTGCGGGCTGGATGTGGCCCTTTGCTTGCCTTTAACCAACCCTTGGAACACCATGCCATCCACTGACTCCAATGATGGGGCGCCATTGCTCCCACAGACACCAATGATGGACCACCATTCTTCCCACAGACACCAGTGATGGGCCACCATTCCAACTATGAATACCAACAATGAGGCACCATTCCTCCCACTGATACCAACAACAGGGCACTATTCCTTTCACTAAAACCAATGATGGGGCACTGTTTACTCCCACTGACACCCGGGAATTTTCTAATCTAGCCCCCTAAGCCTCAAGTCTGGCCCCCTAAAGCCTCAAGGCCAGTATACCAGCCCTTTGTTCAGAAAGTTTTCAGACTGTTAGTGTAAGCTACACAAGTAGGATATACGAGTAGCCAATAATCCCCCACATCCAGAGCATTACAGTTATGTGAGGTTAATCACTATTTTATGATGCCTGTATACCATGGGAAGCCACTAGTTCTGTCCATTTAGCAGTCAATATCTGCTCTTTTTGATTGAACTGGTACCATGATAGGACTTTTAACTATCACCCATGTAATTCTAGGCCTTAAAGTAGTAAGATAGGTTCTTTCATTAAGCCAACATATATAATTAACAACAAAAATAGTATAGCTAGGCAAACAAAGGGGGATATACATGCTTTGCACATTACCCCACTATCTACTGTTGATCTTCAGCAGGATGTACAGAAGAAAAAAATGGCATGGGTCATATGACTTTTTCACTAGGCAAATGTTGGTCCTAATTTGAGAAGTAGTATTGCAGTAAAACTTCAGTCTTCTTGCATCCATCTACTACTATATTCAACTGCCAGCATGGGACACTTGGAGGATACATAGAAGCAACATAGGTAATGTGCCATGCCATGGGATGAACATTGGACCTGATTGGGCTTCTTATTCTATTCATCAATAAGCTGAAAATACTAACAGCTTCAAATAAGTGCACAAGACTAGAGACACAAACGTGTACATAAAAATGAGACACACCTATAAATGAAATAAATTGTCTAACCAATGTCAGAGAACCTGGGACCCCTGGGTTGTGTGAAACTGGGACACCTAGACCACAGAGCAGTTTCACTTTGAGTTAGTTTTCCATATTAGACTTCCATTGTAAAAGTGTTTGAGGTTAGAACTATCTTAGACAGTCTTTGTTGCCCTTAGCAGCGAGGTAAACTCTTATGCCCATGCTTCTTAAGTCATCCTGCCACCATATAAAGTATAAATGTTGGTTAGTCTGCTGAAAGAAGGCACATCAAGGTGGGCGCACATACCCTTCTATCATTGTGAAAGCGCTTTTGCACACCCAAGGGACATCCAAACCCTGACATATGCCATAAATAAATCTTGAATCTTAGCTGTTGACCGCTAGGATGCTCCTTACCTTCCATGGTTCAAAGTTTGCATCTTATGTCTTCATAAGTGTGCCAAGTCTATAGCATTAGGGTGTGCACCCCAAAGCTCAAACACACATACGTATCTTTCTGATCTCCCTGCAGGCACATTTTCTCCATGTCTGAAGATTCAGAGTAAAAGAGAAGTGCTTCCACACTGCTCCTATAAACGGAGCCACTCAGTGGGAGATCTTTCCCATCTCTTCATTGACACACAGAGCAATAGTAGTAATGCACACGGGGTGATTAGGGTGTGCCCAGGCACATCTGGTACACCCTGTGCGCACGCCTATGTATGGATTATGTTAAAGAGCAGGCCAGAGCTGTTGACAAATTTTACATATTGCGGTATCTGTCGGTCCTTGAGGTGCACTAAAATTCCTACTGAAGTGAAAGAGAGGTATATGTAGGCATCTTGAGGCACCTGATATTAGGGCAGTGACAAGCATTTGCGGTGGCAGGGTCACTTTAAAGTAAGACTTTGATTGGGCAACACTGATTGTCTGGGACTGTCCTCCTCCATGCAGTTTGATTAACGGGTCCCAATCTGTTTTGGGGTCTATTTACCTGATGATAACCCACCTTCCGAAAAGCTTTATGTACAAGGTGTAATAATTTAGAGCAGCAATTAAAAATAAAATAGATTATAAAATCACCTGACCACATATATACATAGCAAACAGCATCACATGACTCTGCTTTTCATTGTGAAGGGCAAGCGAGGTCCCTCCAATGGCTCAACCTGGCTGCAGCGTAATTCTGTTAGTCTTCGGGGCTGCCGAAGGTTCCAGCAGTAGTTTACAAAGTCAGTTGTTTGCTGTGGGGGAATGGAGGAACTGGTCATCTCAGCACCGAAGTGTGGTCAGGGTCAGGGGGGATGCGGGATCTGAACGCCAAGCAGGTCATAAGCAAACACATTCCAGAAGATAGCGAAGGCTAGAAAAGTGGCGTAACACAGCAGGATGACCCACCAGCCGCACTGGTCCTGGAGGTTCTCTTCATAGCTGCGCAGGATGGTTAAGCCCATACTGACACCAACAGCGGCTCCCGCCAAGTGGGCCATGAAACTGGGCTGAGGTCCAGCGGCTGGTAATGGCGGGGAAAAACGAAGCCACACGGCACGGCCCACCTCCGAGCTCACTGTGGACAAGGAAAAAAGTTAAAACTAAACTTACCTTTGCTGCTAAAAGGATAACTCCATGCCTGACATATACTGGAACAATAAAACTAGGGGTTGCATAAAACAGTGCAGCAACAGATATGGCGGTCTACAACTAGCCGGCTTGTAGCATCTTCAGCCAACTCTTTTATCCTTTAACATGCCTGCCCTGCACTTAGGATACAGGGAGGTGAAGACTGTGACATGCTGGTTCACAGAGAATAATGTATAGAACATCACCCCTCTTACCAATTATTTTTACCCACTGATACTGATTAGGCGTCATTTCTGTCCAATGACACCAGGGATTGGGGATCATTTTTACACAACAACACCAATTAGGCGTCATTTGTACCCAATGACACCAGAGATTGGGGATCACTTTTACCCACTGACTCCGATTAGGGTTCAGTTCTACCCAATGACACCAGGGATTGGGACTCCTTTTTACCTAATGATATCAATGAAGAGGACTCATTTTTGCCCACTGGCGCTAATGATGAGGGCTCATTTTTACCCTCTGTTGGTAGCAATTAGAGCTCATTTTTACCCTCTGACAGTAAGGATTGAGGCTCATTTTTGCTCACTAATACATAGTTTCTTAGTTAAACTGGCTGAAAAAAGACAAAGGTCCATCCAGTTCAACCATTTCAAAAATATATAATACCAATGAATGGGGATCATTTTTACCCACTGATGCCAGGGGTTGGAGCTCATTTCGTACCCACTGATCCCAATCATTGGGACCAATGATTGGGGCAAATTTTTATCCACTGTTGTCAAGGATCGGTTGTCATTTTTACCCACTAACACAAATGAGATGAGCTCATTTTTGCCCACTGACCCCAGTGATTTGGGTAAATTTTATCCCACTGATGACAATGATTGGGAATAATATTTACACACTGACACCGATCAGGGATCATTTCTACCCATTGACACCAGGGACTGGGACTCATTTTTACCCACTGTCACCAATGATAAGGGCCCATTTTTGCCCACTGATACCAGCACCTTAAACCAACAGCTGGTGCTTATTTTGACTCACTGTCACCCATGATGGGAGCTCATTTTTACCCACTGACACAGATTTAGGATAATTTTATCCCACTGCTTCCAATGATTAGGGCTCATTTTTACCCACTGTTGTCAAGGATTGGGTGTCATTCTTACCCACTGATACCAATGATAAGGGCTGACTTTTGCCCACTAACCCCAATGATTTGAACCCATTGATGCCAATGATTGGGGCTCATTTTTACCCAATGACACAGATTAGGGGTAATTTCTACCCAATGACACCAGCGATTGAGGCTCATTTTTACCCCGTTAGTAGCAATTAGGGTTCATTTTACCCTCTGACAGTAATGATTGAGGCTCATTTTTACCTACTAACACCAATGAATGGGGTTATTTCTACCAACTGATGCCAAGGATTGAGGCTCATTTCATACCCACTGAACCCAATCATGTGGGCTAATTTTATCTTACTTATGCCTGTGATAGGGCCTCAGTGTACATACTGACACCAATGATTGGGGCTAATTTTTGCCCACTGTTGTCAAGGATTGGTTGTCATTTTTACCCACTATCACAATTGATAAGGGCTCATTTTAGCCTACCGACCACAATGATTGGGGCTCATTTTCGCCCACTGATGGAAATGATTGTGAATCATTTTTAGACGCTGTCACCAGGGATTGGGGCTCATTTTTACCCACTGACACCAATGATGAGGGCTCATTTTTACCTACTGACACCAATGATAGGGGCTTATTTTTACCTTCAAGATTTTATCTGGCCCTCTGATGTAACAGGGGACCTTTATGGTGATTCTTATATAGGGTTGCTCTGATGGGGCTATGATTTGGTTTAGTGCTCTAGCTGGCTGCAGGCTTTAAAATATTTTTTTATTTTTGTAAATATACTTACTACAGACCAATGCAAGAACCATTCGAAGGACCTTGTAAGGGCATCGCATTCCAGCCCAGTTCTGTAACAGAAAAGGAGCTGATGTTAATTGGCCACATCAAAAGCAAAACAATAAAACATGCTCTATTTTCCAAAAGATTTGTAGAGTAATGCCTGTGTTGTTTTCTCTCCTCCCCCACTATACTATATGGTTGTACAGAATAAGGAGGGTAAGGCCTCATTCACACAGTTAACCCTTTGATCGCCCCAGATGTTAACCCCTTCCTGCCCAGTGTCATTAGTACAGTGTCAGTGCTTTTTATTAGCACTGATCACTCTATTAGTGTCACTGGGTATGTCAGTGGCAGTTAGTCAGTTTCCTCTCAGTGTCAGATTGCCCGCCGTAGTCCCGCTATAAGTCGCTGATCACCACCATTACTAGTATAAAAAAAAAAAAAAATTAAATTCCAGTATATATACCGCCATTTGTAGATGCTATAACTTTCACATTAACCAATTAATTTACACTTATTGGGTATTTTTTTTTTAGAAAAGATGTGTAGCAGAATACTTTTTGGCCTAATTTTATGACAATTTTTTTATTATTATTATATTTTTATTGGATATGTTTTATAGCTAAAAGTGAAAAAGATATTTTTTTCAAAATTGTTTGTATTTTTTTTATGTTTTGCGCTATAAACAAACAAGACTGAGGTTATCAAATACCACCGAAAGGATGCTCTATTCATGGGAAAAAACGGACATAAATTTAATTTATGTGCAGTGTTGCATGACCACACAATTGTCAGTTAAAGTAACGCACCGCCGAATCACAAAAAATGGCCCGGTCATGAAGTGGGGTAACTCTTCTGGAGGGCAAGTGGTTAAAGTGGTTGTAAAGGCTCATTCTAGACATGAAGGTAAAAAACCTTCTATGTGCAGCAGCCCCCCCCCCAATACACACCTGAGCCCCATCTCAATCCAGTGATGTGCACGAGGGGTCTCTCCCACCTCATTGGCTGAGACAGCAGCAGGAGCCATTGGCTGGTCGGGCACCCCCATAGCAAGCTGCATTCTCTGGGGGCACTTGGCAGGAGGGAAGAGCCAGGAGTGCCGGTGGGGGACCCAAGAAGAGAAGAATCGGAGCTGCTCTGTACAAAACCTTTACACAGAGCAGGTATGACATTTTTGTTATTTTTTACAAAAAATATTTAATCACTTTAATTTGTTATTCTTTTGCACCAGGATAACTATAGAAAATTAGCGGTTTAAAAATGTTCTGAAAATGAATGTTGCTTTGCAGAAGGTTACCTTGCAACAGCAAAAGTAAATTTGCTTTTTGCAAAAAGTTTGATTGGCATGAGATGCAAATGTTTATTGATCATTTACATGTAGATATTGCTGTTATTGTAGTGACGGTGAACACCCAATGCTTTAAAATAGACTTTCATTCAAAAAGGTTTTTTTGATTTTGGAATTGGGTGGGGAAGAGTTAGGGCTCGTTCACACTAGGCTGTTTTGCCAACGCTTGCCAAACGCCCCTATAGCGTTTGGCAAGCGTTGGTCCGGTGTTTGCGGAGCGTTTTTAACGCTCGGGAAACGCTCCGCAAACGCCGCATGCGCGGTTTAGCGGCGGTTGCTAGGCGTTTGCCGAGCGTTAATAACGCCCCACAAACGCCTATAATGCATTTGAGTGGTGTTACCGCTCCGCAAACGCCCCGCAACCGCGTCGCAACCGCACCACAAACGCCGGCCGGGCGTTTGCGGAGCGGCACCATAGACGAGAATAGGAGGCTTCAAAGCCTCCTGACTCGACCAGAGGCGTCCGTTTTGCCGCGACGCAACGCGACGCGACGCAAACGCTCCTGTTAGAACAGCACCATGTGCTGTAATGTGCAGAGTTGGCAGAGGTGTTTGGGAAGCGGTAAAAACGCTTCCCAAACGCCTCTCTGCCGCCTGCACACAAGGCTAGTGTGAACGTAGCCTTAGAGAGCCTGACAAATTGTATGTGCTTGTTCCTGCGGGGAGATCTCCTTTCATTTCCTGTCTGCTCACTGGGACAGGAAGTGGGAGGACATCTCTCCAAATGGACATAATTGTCCAGTTCTGAAAGATAGATGGAACTAAACCAATCAGTTACCGGTTTCCCAAAACAGTTGCATTCAAGGCATGTCATGAACGATAACTGTCACAGTGAATAAACCGACTTTTACCTAAAAAAAAAAAAACTGTGTGACATCCAGCTGATTCATGCAACAAAATATTTAGTGAATTTAAAAATATTTTTCAACTGTAAAAACAAGAAAACAAGGCACTACAATAAAAATACTGTTTTGTAGTGTGTTTTGTACATTTTCCCTATGTACAGCAAGTAAAATTTAAATAGATAAAACTAAAAATTCCTGACTGTTTCAACCGAATAAAACGTACTTCTACACCCCGGTCACACCAAACCTGACATCAGAATCGTTGCGACTTACAGTGAAGTTGCACGATTTCAAAGTGGGATGACCTGCCGATTTCAGGTGCGATTTGCAAGACATCCGACACAGATCTCTATGCCAATCGCACCAAAAGTAGTGCATGTACTACTTTAGAAATCGGTGCGGCTCCGACCAAGTCAGAACCGCACTGTTATGACCGCTATAATTGCGGTCAAAATGGTACGGCTTGGCAGCATGCGATTTGCAAGTCGCATGGCATGCAAATCGCATGCCAATTCGCATCCAGGATGCCTGGGAACTTAAAGCGGAGCTCCAACCAAAAGGGGACGTTTCGCTTTAAGGACTGCTCCCCCGCTCCCCATTAAGGGTTGGCACCTGTGGGGGGCAGGGGGGGAGCAGGTACCCCAATTTGACAGGTACCCGCTCTCACTTCTGGTCTGATCGCCTAGGTCAGTGGTCGGCAAGCCGCGGCTCGCGAGCCACATGCGGCTCTTTACACGCTTTAATGCAGTTCTTGTGTGCCGGGCGCCCGCTCCCCTCCCTCCTCTCGGGCGGCAGGGACTCTGCAGCGTGATCCAAAAAAAAAACAGCCAGGGCAGCGCGCTCAAATGCAATGATTGGCCAGTCTCGCTGCCACTCACATCCTGATAGCCAGTGATTGGCTGTCAGGATGTGTGTAGGCGGGGCAGCGTGACGAACGTGAGAGGAGCTAGGCTCCTCTCACAGTCCGCCCTGAAGACCGGAACGGCGCGGGAACACGGCGAGAGGAACGCGTGGAGCAAAGGTAAGTGAATTGACACAGGGGGGACTTGGCTTACTACTTGGGGGAGGGGAATAGTACTATGGGGGATGAATTAATATGGGGTATGAATTAATATGGGGAATGAATTACTATAGGGGGGATGAATTACTATATGGGGGATGAATTACTATATGGGGGATGAATTACTATGGGGGATGAATTACTATATGGGGGATGAATTACTATATGGGGGATGAATTACTATGGGGGATGAATTACTATGGGGGATGAATTACTATGGGGGATGAATTACTATATGGGGGATGAATTACTATATGGGGGATGAATTACTATGGGGGATGAATTACTATGGGGGATGAATTACTATGGGGGATGAATTACTATGGGGGATGAATTACTATAAAAACTTATTGAAACTAAAAACAGTGTACCATCCTATGTATTTTCAGTTTTAAAAATGTGGCTCTCAAAATAAATTTCAATCGTGGTTTTGGCGACATTTGGCTCAGTTGAAAAAAAAGGTTGCCCACCACTGGCCTAGGTGATCGGAAGCGGAAGGTGCCCTCCCTCCCCGTAGTCTTTTGGGACACGTGACAGGTCCCAGAAGACTACAGGACCATTCATGAAGCGCAGCGCTACTCGCACATGCGCAGTGGGTACCCGGCTGTGAAGCTGCAAGCTATCACAGCCGGATACCCACACTGAAGATGCCGGCCTTCTGGAATACAGGACAGCCGGTGAAACGGGCTGCGGGGGACACACCGCGGGGACCGAGGGACAGGTAAGTGGCAGTTTATTTTTAAAGTCAGCAGCTACAGTTTTTGTAGCTGCTGACTTTTATTTTTTGACAGGGAGAGTGGAACTCCGATTTAAAGGAGTTCCACTTTAGGTTTGTTTCACGTTACAAAGATGTCAATAAAGTGAAATGGAAATGCCAGATTTAAATTGAGGTGCTTTTAATATCATATGCAAAGGTCTGCTTTTTTATTAGGCCTTGTTTACAAAATGCGGCATTGGACACGATTTTCTTTTCAAGCACTCTGAATGCCAATCAAAGCCCCTGTCACTAAATAAAATGATGAGCTTACAGTCCTGTTCACACTTTGTGTTTGGCTTCACTTCAAAAAATTATACCCCATGTTGCTTTCTTGGTGCTTCAAAGTGTCTCCAAAGCCTCCATAGAAGTCTATGACAAAGCTCACCAACAGCACCTGTAGCTTTTCAGAGACTTTTATTCAGCTTTAGCTTTGCTTTGTTTTGTAGGTATTGCAGGTATGAGATATCCCAGGATGCACTGGGAGACCAACGAGCGAACCAGAAAGATGTCATCAGCAGTCACTTCCAGTTCATGTGTATATATTCTGGAAGTGTGTGGTGCAGACGTCATATGTGGTGCAGATGTCACATGTGGTGTGCAGCGAGGAGCAGCAGGAAGGTGAGCGGAGTCTGGACTCTTCGAAGCTGAGCAACTAGCAGATGACACACATGGTGTGCAACATGGGAACAGTATAGAGGAAGGTGAGCAAGGACCAGAGAGAAAGGACTGAACGGCAGAGATCAGCAGAGCTGGGGGATCAGAGCAAGAGAAACTAGCAGATGTCCCACATGGTTTTCAGCATGGGAACAATATAGCTTGAGGTGAGCAGGGACCGCAGAGAGAGAGGAGGATCAGCAAACCAGATGATCAGCAGAGTTGGATTTTCTACTGAGTGGGGGGATCAGCAGAGCTGGGGGTAATGCTGAGTGGGGGATCAGCAGAGCTGGGGGTAATGCTGAGTGGGGGATCAGCAGAACTGGGGGTAATACTGAATGGGGGGATCAGCAGAGCTAGGAGTAATACTGATTGGGGGATCAGTAGAGCTGGGGGTTACTACTGAGTGGGTGATCAGCAGAGCTGGGAGTACTACTAAATGTGGGATCAGCAGAGCTGGGAGTACTACTGAGTGGGGGATCAGCAGAGCTGGGGGTTACTACTGATTGGGGGATCAGCAGAGCTGGGGGTACTACTGAGTGGGGGATCAGCAGAGCTGGGGGTACTACTGAGTGGGGGATCAGCAGAGCTGGGGGTTACTACTGATTGGGGGATCAGCAGAGCTGGGGGTACTACTGAGTGGGGGATCAGCAGAGCTGGGGGTACTACTGAGCAGGGGATGTGCTGAACAAAGTGCGGTTGCTCTAATAATATAAAGGGCTCAGGTAACAGAATTTGGCTGTTGCTATGGTAACAAGGGACGGTGTCAATTAACATAACCTTACAACAAGGTGACACTGCTGTGGTAACAAGGAAAGACCTCAGGGAATATTACTTTTCAGCAAGGTGTTGTTGCTATGATAACATAGACATTAATACTTTTTATGTCAAGGTGCTGTTGCTATGGTAACAAGGTACCAGATACTATTAATTCACATTGAGGTGCTGTTGCTATGCTAACAAGCAAAGACCTCGGTTAATATTACTTCACAGCAAGGTGCTGCTGCTAGGGTAACATAAAGGCCTCAGGTAATACTGCTTCACAAAAAGAAGTTGTTGCTACGGTAACATGTCAGTTAATATAACTTTTCTACATGCTGGCGTTGTCGGTAATGTTTGCTTTACATGGACATTTATTTATAGTACAGAATACTATTGCGTGACCAATATCAAAAAGTACTATTACTACCTATTATTTTGCTGTTTCTATGGTAACCTGGATATAGCTCCAGTAGAACTGCTTTACAACAGAGTGTTGTCGCCATGGTAACCTGAAGCAGCCCTACTTCTCTACATCTGACTCCTGCTATGTTAGCACGGACAGGCCTTAGATATTAGGACTTTCCATGGCTGTGCTGTCACCATGGTAATAGTGAATGACTTCAGTTGGCACTCAATTACTCCATATCACATCACCATTGATACGGTATGATGGGATGGCCCTGTTCCTTTACATCTATAGTAACGCATAGAATCTTCAAATAATATTACTTTACATCAGGTTGCTGTTGCTATGGTAACATAGAAAGCCTAAATTAATTTACTTTACATCAGGCGGCTGTTGCTGTGATAGCATAGAAAGCCACAATTAATTTACTCTTCATCAGAGTGCAGTTGCTAAGGTAAAACGGCAAGCTTTCGGGTAATATTACTTTACGTCAGGCTTGTGTTGCTATGGTAACCCTGGCAGGCCTCATTGTATGAAAAGGGATAAAATCTTTGATCTCTGCCTGTTACAATACAGTGAGTAGCCTGACAAGCCCTGAGAAGATGGATAGCCTCCCTGTGATAACATCACTTTCTTCCTTCTGCTTCAGGTCCCCTCTTATATAATATAATCATTTAGTGGTGCTCTCTAGCAATGTAAATCCGGGCTTCGCTCTGTGCCCTGTCAGCTTCAGTCAGTGTACTCCATCCCTCCGCTGTCTAAACCGTCACCTCCTTTCATGTCACGGACCGCGCAGACGGTGACATGAATCTCTGATAGCAGCAGAAGAGATGGCTTTTATGTATTATACATTGCCGTCCCATGCCATTATTCATTTCCCTTTGCCCCACTATCTCTGCAACTATAGCCAGCACTTCCGTTATTCATGTGTATAAAAAACCCAAAAGCAAAAATTTCATATATTGCAGATTGCTGGTGCTTGGTGTGGCGGCTGCATTCGTTTTCAAATTTTCAAGCTTTTTTGGCTTTATTTTTTACATGGCAATCCTGAAAATAATGAACTTCTTGTCCCTGGCTGGCTACGTCACTCCTCCACTGTATCTAAGTATGAAGCCGTGGTTGTCACCCAAGGATGCTCTCCTGATATGTCTGGATCTCTTCATCTCCATTACATGGAGGGCAGAAAAGCAGCAGTTTTCAAAGCCAAGAGTTTTGGGCACCAATTCACAAAAATAACATTGGGGAACTGAAGGAAGTACAGAGAAGGGCAACCAAACTGATCAGAGGCATGGAGGAGCTCAGCTATGAGGAAAGATTAGAGGAATTGAGTTTATTCTCTCTTGAGAAGAAGAGATTAAGGGGGGGTATGACCTCCATGTATAATACATAAGGGGGGGGGGTATGATCTCCATGTATAATACATAAGGGGGGGGGATATGACCCCCATGTATAATACATAAGGGGGGGGGGGGTATGATCTCCATGTATAATGCATAAGGGGGGGGGGGTATGATCTCCATGTATAATACATAAGGGGGGGATATGATCTCCATGTATAATACATAAGGGGGGGGTATGATCTCCATGTATAATACATAAGGGGGGGGATATGACCTCCATGTATAATACATAAGGGGGGGGGATATGATCTCCATGTATAATACATAACGGGGGGATATGATCTCCATGTATAATACATAAGGGGGGATATGATCTCCATGTATAATACATAAGGGGGGGGATATGATCTCCATGTATAATACATAAGGGGGGATATGATCTCCATGTATAATACATAAGGGGGGATATGATCTCCATGTATAATACATAAGGGGGGATATGATCTCCATGTATAATACATAAGGGGGGGGGGATATGATCTCCATGTATAATACATAAGGGGGATATGATCTCCATGTATAATACATCAGTGAAAAGAAATTTAATCTCCAAACATGGAAAGTTTCTTCACAGTAAGAGCTGTGAAAATGTGGAATAGACTCCCTCAAGAGTTGGTTGTGGCCATCTCAGTGGATTGCTGTAGGAAAGTCCTGGATTCTTTCTTGGATACACAGAATATAACTGGATATAACATTTATAGGTAAAGTTGATCCAGGGAATATCCGATTTCCTCTCGGGGGATCAGAAAGGAATTTTTTTCCCAGCAGGAGCAAATTAGATCATGCTTTGCTGTTTTTTTTTGCCCTCCTCTCGATCAACTGTGGGTGTAGGATTATAGCTTTATTTTTTTTCTATGGTTTAACTGGATGGACTTTTGTCTTTTTTCAGCCAGACTAACTACGCAATTCAGGTCATGTGACCGCTGTAATTGGCTGTCGCTGTCGCAGTGGTCACATGATCAGAAAGCTTCCGATCGCAATTATGCATCGGGAGCTTATCTACCCCCACATGTGCAGGAAGTGCGTGCCCAGCATATGTTGTTTTAACAAGGCCACATAAATGTCATTAAGGCCCACCCATATATGCGTACGGCTAGTGCCAAGAGGTTAAAGAAGATTGCTGGGAAGGAAGATATCTTGGTGTCGCTCACAGGAAGTGACGAGGACACTGCTTTTCTGGCAGGATCAGCAATTACTTACTGAAAATGCTTTTAGCCTGAGAAAAAAGGAAAACGAATGCAGCCACCATATCTAAGGACTGTAAGATGCAGCATATTACATTTCTGTTCTCAGGTTTCGTTACCCTTTAAAGCTGAATTCCAGGTATGGAGTTTTTTGCATAGTTTCATTGTTCTAGCATGGGCTGATGTGAATATGCCTGTATCATACCTGGCTGATCCCTCTGGAAGCGGATAATCACTGTAGTAGCTGCTCTACTACACTGATGCTTGCTGTCTTCTAGAATGTCGGGTAAAATATGTACTTTTGTTTTTTTATAAATATGAACTGAAAAGCGGAACTCCACCCAAAAGGGGGAGTTCCGCTTTAAGTACTGGTCACCCACTCCCCGTGAGGAACTGTCCTCCCTCCCCGTAGTCTTCTGGGACATGTGACAGGTTCCAGAAGACTATGGGACCATACATAAGGCGCAGCACTACCCGCGCATGTGCCGTGGGCACCCAGCTGTTAAGCTGCAAGCTGACAGGGCAGGATGTCCACACTTATGATGCCGTTGCGAGGACGGCCGTGAAACCAGCTGTGATGAGCACACTGCTGGATCGAGGGACAGGTAAGTGGCTGTTTTATAAAAGTCAGCAGCTACAGTTTTTTTTAGCTGTTGACTTTTATTTTTTTTTGTTTGACTGGAGCACCGCTTTAAGGACAATTTGTGCAGATCTGCCACATTTTTTTTTAAAACTAAAAGTATTTCAGCCATGCTTGACTTACATAACTGATCTGGCACTGCTTCTCACGCCAACCTAACACTTACCATAACAACGTTAGCAAGGTGGGCAGAACAGAGGGCGTACACCCCACCGGAACCTCCGACTAAAGGAGCTCTCATGTCTGTGACTGACACAGCAAGGGATCCTGGGAAAAAAGTAGTGATAATATCAGTGTGTGCTTTTCATCAGAAAAGAAAAAAGAAGGAGGGAAAAAAGAAAGAGACAGAAAAAGAGAAAGAAAGAAACAGAGAGAGAAGAGAGCGAGCGAGAGAGAAGAGAGAGAGAGAAGAGAGCGAGAGAGGAAGGAAGGAAAGAAAGAAAGAGAGAGAGCGAGAGAGAGGAAGGAAGGAAAGAAAGAGAGAGCGAGAGAAAGAAAGAAAGAAAGAAAGAGAAAGAAAACCTGTGGAAAGTAGTGATAATATCAGAGAGAGAGAGAGAGAAAACCTTGGGAAAAAGTAGTGATAATATCAGTGTGTGAAAGAAAGAGAGAGAGAAGGAAAGAAAGAAGGAAAAAGAGAGAGAGAGGGGGGGGGGAGAAAGAGAGAAAGAAAGAAAGAAAGAAAGAGAAAAAGAAAGAAAACCTGGGGAAAAGTAGTGATTATATCAGAGAGAGAGAGAGAGAGAGAGAGAGAGGGGGGGGGGAGAGAGAGAGAGAGACTTGGGAAAAAGTAGTGATAATATCAATGTGTGAAAGAAAGAGAGAGAGAGAGAGAGAGAAGGAAAGAAAGAAGGAAAGAAAGAAAGAAAACCTGGGGAAAAGTAGTGATAATATCAGAGAGAGAGAGAGAGAGAGAGAGAGAGAGAGAGAGAGAGCCTTGGGAAAAAGTAGTGATAATATCAGTGTGTGAAAGAAAAAAGAGAGAGAGAAGGAAAGAAAGAAGGACAGACAGAAGGGAGAGAGAGATAGGGGGGAACCTGGGGAAAAGTAGTGATAATATGAGAGAGAGAGAGAGAGAGAGAGAGAGAGAGAGAGCACGTTGGGAAAAAGTAGTGATAATATCAGTGTATGAAAGAAAGAGAGAGAGAGAGAGAGAGAAGGAAAGAAAAAAGGAAGGAAAGAAAGAAAAGAGAAAGAGAGAGAGAGAGAGAAGGAAAGAAAAAAGGAAGGAAAGAAAGAAAAGAGAAAGAGAGAGAGAGAGAGAAAGAAAGAAGGAAGGAAAGAAGGAAAGAAAGAAGGAAAGGGAGAAAGAAAGAGAAAGAAAGAAAACCTGGGGAAAAGTAGTGATAATATGAGAGAGAGAGAGAGAGAGAGAGAGAGAGAGTGAAAGAAGAAAAGAGAGAGAGAGAGAGAGAGTGAGAGAGAGAGAGAGAGAGAGAGACCAACCATGTACAGTTGTGCTCAAAAGTTTCCCTCCCCCGGCAGAAATTGTGACATTTTGGCATTGATATTGCAACTAGGACTGATCATGCCAAAAATGCTCTTTTATTGAAGGATGATGATCATATGAAGCCATTTATTATCAAATGGCCCGGATCAAAAGTTTCCCTCCCCTGGCATGTTTGGTCTTGGTACAGACACACAAGGTGACACACACGGGTTAAAATGCCAATTAGAGGTTAATGTTCCACATCTGTGGCTTTTTAAATTGCAATTAGTCAGTGTATAAAGAGTCAATGAGTTTGTTAGCTCTTTCATGGAAGCACTGACTAGGTAGATACTGAGCCATGGGGATCAGAAAAAAAACTGTCAAAAGTCCTGCATAACAAGGTAATGGAGCTTTATAAAGATGGAAAAGGACATAAAAAGATGTCCAAAGTCTTCAATATGTCAATCAGTACTGTTAAATCACCTATTAAGAAGTGGAAAGTTTGGGGATCTCTTGATACCAAGCTAAGTTCAGGTAGACCAAGAAAGATTTCTGTTATCATTATGATTTAAAAAGGAGCCAAACAACTATCTGATAATAAATGGCTTCATATGATCATCATCCTTCAATAAAAGAGCATTTGTTGGCATGATTAGTCATATTTTCAATATCAATGCCAAAATTTCACAATTTGCCAGGGTATGTAAACATTTGAGCACAACTGTATGTTACATGTGCAGTAACAGGTTACAATATTACAAGAAAGGGAGAAGTGTGTAAGTGACAGATATACATGCCCACCTGCCAACACCCCAGCCAGATACAGGAAACTGATTCGCAGGACCCCGTGTACCATCTCCAGAGGAACTCCGATCATTAGTTGTAGGAGGGTGTTAAATCCCAGCTGCTCCAGACTGTAAAATAATAAGGAAGATACATGACACAAAGAAGGACACACATCATCCGTACAGCTTACCTAAAAGTGAGCAAGGGTGCAGTGGGAAATGGTCCTGTAACCTAAAGTGTTACTAAACCCACAACAGTCAAATCAGTCTGTATATGTAGTAAAGCATGCTTGTTATACTCACTGTGGAACCTAAGGGTTTGAGAAATGAGATGAGAAACTGACAGGTCGCTCCCTATGTACAGAGCTCTGTGTTGTTAACCAACAAAGAGCTCTGGCTGTGTTTGCACGCAGCCAGTCACCAGGTCCCAGTCATGAATCATTGGCCCAAACTTGCTGACAGACTGCCACTGTGTGCAAGCACAGCGGGTGCTGGGCAGGGGGTGCACACATGCCCTAAACCAGGAAGTGGGTGGCAATGTACCAGTACTTCGCTTTGCCTACAGCTGCCACTGCCCGCAGTACAGGGGGGGGGGGGGGGGGGGGGGGGGGCGGCGAGTGATTAAAGTTAAAAAAAAAAATCCTTTACTTTTCCTGCTGTGATCTGACTTCCTGTTATAGGGTGGCTACATTTGTTCTCCATGGCCTCGCTGTATGAAGGACTGTAGCCACCGTCTCTTACTCACTCCTGAGATGGACTACGGACGATGGGATGTGTAGTATACATAAAGCATAGCACATGACCACAACTTATGTGCACTGCTCATTCTAAACAAAAAGGGAGAGGGAAAAGGAGAGGTTCAGGAGTTCCCAAAGAATGTTACAAGGAGACAGAAAAACACAGAAACTAATTAATGAAAAAATTGATAGCAGGGTCATTAGATACTGGATGTGACATTGTATTGTTAGGGTGACAGTATGTTAAAAAAAAAAAAATAATAATATAAAAAAAATTAAAATGTAAAAACTAATTTTAACGTTATAAACTAATTTGGGTTTTTTCTTTTTTTTTACTAAAAAGATAGATGAATACATTTTGGCATAGATTTATAAATAAAGATTATTTATTTGCAAAATTTTATAAGAAAAACAAAATTTTTTGACTTTTTCATTTACATAGCAAAAAAATAAAAATCCCAGTGGTGAATAAATACCACCAAAATAAAGCTTTATCTGTCTAAAAAAAATGCTAAAAAATTCATATGGGTACAGTGTTGCATGACCGCGCAATTGTCATTCAAAGCGTGATAGCACTGAAAGCTGAAAATTGGCCTGGACAGGAAGGGGGTGAAAGTGTCCGGACTGGAAGGGGGTGAAAGTGTCCGGACTGGAAGGGGGGGAAAGTGTCCGGACTGGAAGGGGGGGAAAGTGTCCGGACTGGAAGGAAGGGGGGGAAAGTGTCCGGACTGGAAGGGGGTGAAAGTGTCCGGACTGGAAGGGGGGGAAAGTGTCCGGACTGGAAGGGGGGTGAAAGTGTCCGGACTGGAAGGGGGGGAAAGTGTCCGGACTGGAAGGGGGGGAAAGTGTCCGGACTGGAAGGGGGGGAAAGTGTCCGGACTGGAGGGGGGGGGGGAAAGTGTCCGGACTGGAAGGGGGGGGGAAAGTGTCCGGACTTGAAGTGGTTAAGCTCTAAAAACTAATCCCAATCCTAAAAAAAAAAAAAACCCAAATCTATTACTAGAAACATACTTGATGATAAGACCTATATATAAACTGTTATGGTGTTATAATACTGTATAGCCAGTCATGTGATTCAGATATCCCTGCCAGACAGCACACCCAGGTCCTCGACCTTCACTGCAAGACACGATCCCAGCTTGCTGATTGGACAATGAAGGAGCAGCAGGGCACTGATGAGCCACCACTCTGTTTTTTTCTGCTTTCTCCTCTTGTTCGCTGTCAGCACATGACTCGCTCCATGTGTTCTCCTTCTTACCCCAGTCTGGAGGGGATTAGAGGAGACCAATGGAGAGACAACACAAGTATTTACTACTATACTACACCACATCTAATAATACATTTAATCTCGTTTCTGAATTACAGAATAATTGCATTAATTGTTGGCTTTCTACGCAACCCTGCCCTGAATCCAGCCCCGCTACTCCACCTTCAAGTATGGTGTTCCTGTGATTTCAGTTCCTCCAAATCTTTTCATTTTTTTTTTTTTTTTTATTTTATTATGTCATTTTGTATGTTTTTATGACTTTTTGCAGCTCTTCATTTTGGTAAAGGGGTCCCTCAAGTCCCTGAAGTGACTGTAAAGAGGACTATGCAACAGCAAAAGATAACTAGTATCCAGAGTGCTGGCATGTATGTATTGGTAAAGCACAGGTTCCCTTTAAAGCCAGCCGCACATGGAACGAAGGTTAGCTGGTTCAGCAGGGACTGACCGAAATTCAATCCATGTATGCCATGTATGGGCACATTGACTTTCCGCTCCTCGCATGACCTTCAATTCTCTAGCCCCCTTGTCTCCTCCTCCCATGCTCGTCTTCAGGACTTCTCCAGAGCTTCCCCCATCCTCTGGAACTCTCTACCCCAATTTATTGCCTACTCTGCTCACTTTTAGGCAATCTCTGAAAACCTATCTCTTCAGGGAAGCCTATCCTGCCCTCAGCTAACAATGGAATCTTCTATTCCTCCTACCAGTCCATCCCCCACAGTTATTACCTTATTTACCACTAGCCCCTCCCTCCTAGATTGTAAGCTCCCAGGATCAGGCCCTCCTATCCCTCTTGTATTGAACTGTATTGTTGCTGTATTGTCTCCCATTATATTGTAAAGCGGTATCAGTGGGAGGAATAGTGCCCCATCATTGGTATCAGTGGGAGGAATAATGCCCCATCATTGGTATCAGTGGGAGGAATAATGCCACATCATTGGTGTCAGTGGGAGGAATAGTGCCCCATCATTGGTGTCAGTGGGAGGAATAGTGCCACATCATTGGTGTCAGTGGGAGGAATAGTGCCCTATCATTGGTATCAGTGGGAGGAATAGTGCCCCATCATTGGTGTCAGTGGGAGGAATAGTGCCCATCATTGGTATCAGTGGGAGGAATAGTGCCTCATCATTGGTGTCAGTGGGAGGAATAGTGCCCCATCATTGGGTGTCAGTGGGAGGAATAGTGCCCCCATCATTGGTATCAGTGGGAGGAATAGTGCCCCATCATTGGTGTCAGTGGGAGGAATAGTGCCCATCATTGGTATCAGTGGGAGGAATAGTGCCTCATCATTGGTGTCAGTGGGAGGAATAGTGCCCCATCATTGGTCTTAGTGGGAGGAATAGTGTCCCATCATTGGTGTCAGTGGGAGGTATAAAGCCCCATCATTGGTGTCAGTGGGAGGAATAGTGCCCCATCATTGGTCTTAGTGGGAGGAATAGTGCCCCATCATTGGTATCAGTGGGAGGAATAGTGCCCCATGATTGGTATCAGTGGGAGGAATAGTGCCCCATGATTGGTATCAGTGGCAGGAATAGCACCCCATCATTGGTATTAGCGGGAGGAATAGTGCCCCATCATTGGTATCAGTGGGAGGAATAGTGCCCCATCATTGGTGTCAGTGGGAGTTATAATGCCCCATCATTGTTATTAGTGGGAGGAAAAGTGTCCCATCATTGGTGTCAGTGGGAGGAATAGTGCCCCATCATTGGTGTCAGTGGGAGGAATAGTGCCCCATCATTGGTGTCAGTGGGAGTTATAATGCCCCATCATTATTAGTGGGAGGAAAAGTGTCCCATCTTTGGTGTCAGTCAGAGAAATAGTTCCCCATTATTGGTATCAGTGGGAGGAATAGTGCCCCATCATTGGTATCAGTGGGAGGAATAGTGTCCCATCATTGGTATCAGTGGGAGGAATAGTGCCCCATCATTGGTATTAGTGGTAGGAATGGTGTCCCATCATTGGTGTCAGTGGGAGGAATAGTGCCCCATCACTGGTGTCAGTGGGAGGGATAAAGCCCCACCATTGGTGTCAGTGGGAGGATTGGCTCTCCAAGGGCCGGATAGAGGCAAGCAAAGGGCTGCAGTTTTGGAGACCACTAGTCCAGTTCAATAAACTGAGAACTTTCAGCAAAGTTTTGGCAAAATCAAACTCCAAAATTTTGCGAATTAAGTAATTTTGCCAAAATCATTCTGCTCGTCTCAAATCTGCAGAACATTTCAAAAGGAGATGATGGGCAACTTTCTTTGAGTTTATTTCTCAATCTTTCTTAGCAAAGGAATATAATGGTTTGCAAAATGTTGACCATACATTAGAATTCTGTTTAAAATTTTTAAGAATGTTGGCTCAATTTTATATCGTTGGGGGGGTCAATGTGACGTTCATTTTCAACCACAGTGATGAGAAAGCTCCAAGGAGCGGGGATGACAAATTTTTAACAGCGAATGCGGCTTTTGTTTGGGAAGTTCCAAAATCAAATAGTAAAAGCAAGCAAAACTTTCAAGTACATTGGAATTAAATTCGTCAAGTCATCGAATGTTCTGAGAATTTTCATATGAACCTAGTGTATGGTCAGCCTAAGATTAGGGTTTTTATCGATTTTACTAGAAAGACGGAACTCGTCAAATGCGGGTCGTTCTTCAGAGAACGTGAAGTGCTCCAATATAACACGATTATGGGACATAATTCTGATTCCTTCACCTTAAATTGAAATATAATACATTAAAGTGGTTGTAAACCTCAGACATGAAATATATGAACAAAGCATGGCACTGTACTGCACTGGTGACAGTATGTAAAAAAAAAAAACAAAATTGTGAAAATTTGTTTCTGTAACAGCTTCCCTGCTGCCATATAGCACAAATACTGCTACAGGGAGGCAGGGCTGCGCAAACTCACATATATATATATATATATATATATATATATATATATATATACACACACACACAGGATTTTTCCTTTCCGGGTAGGGGGTGCATGCATGCACTGCCCTACCTGCGCCGCCATTGGTGGCTACGGCTGACAATCACCGAGATTCCCCGCCGGCACCCAGCGATCGCCAAAGAACACTGACAGGGGAGAGGTCTGTATGTAAATAATACAGATCTCACCCTTGTCAGATCCAGCAT